AAGAAATACTCTGTAATTCCGATAAAACTTGCTCCATAGCCACGCTAACGCTAGCCGCCATGTTCTTTAGACTGAACTGTCGCGCTTCTCGTTGCGTCACACCTCAACCCGCCTCAAAGCCAACGCTGATTGGACGTTCGTTTGGTGAACTGCTCCAAATTTTCTTTAACGGAGAGTCTCCAGACTGATCTGCGAGTGAAACTTTGAAAGCTCGCAAGATCAGGATGGCTCTCACGAGGCTAGTAAATGGCACGTCCAAGGTTTTTTAGTTTTTTTGGGGATTGCAGGTGATCTACAATGATTACAGCATTAATGTTCAGAAATACGAAATACTGTTTGGTTCCACCCATTAAAATGAGTAAAAACCTAAGTTCTGATGACATGTAGCCATGTAGCTGGAGGTAGTAATGACAAAAGTTTTATTAAAAAAAATAAGTAAATAAAATTCTAAGTCTAAAAAAAAAATAAAAAATAAAAACAATTTCTATTGTATATACTGTGTCTAAACATCCTCTATTTTCTTGTATCTGAAATTTTTCCTGCTACTGGAAATACAATTTCCCGAAGGGAGTAATCCCAAGCGATTAATAAAGTCAAGTCTAAGTCTAATAATTATGATACTAAATAATATTTACATAGGTAGCCTACCTTAAAATGATGAATTAATTAAATATTAATAAACAAGGGAGCCGATTCTGTGGATATTATTGTTGGTCTTTTAGGGATTAACACAAATATGTGCAGCTTAAAATTAACAAGACCCTTAATCCCAGTGAAAAAGATGATAAAAGGTCTATTTTTAGCTGTAATTTTTTTGCCATTATCTGGAAACTCTGCTGTCCCTCAGGTACGTGGCCATGAGCCACCCAACGTCTGTGCACCTCTACTTCCTGTCGGACCAGTTCCAGGGCTACCTGGTGCGTCACGTGGCCACCAACCGAGCCTCCACCCAAATGGAGACCCTGGAGACCTGGGTGACACCCAAAGACCATTTCACCCTGTCCAACCAGCCTCACACCAGTAACAGACTCCAGCACATCCAGGTCAGACCACATCAGAACCACTAATCCAACCTAAAGTCCAGTTGTTTGTTTTTCTGAGGATTTGTCTATTAGAAATGATAATCAGCTCTGATCTGTTCTTAAAATGTTTGTCCAGTTGAAGCTGAAGAGATTCACAGTCTGGTTGTTTCAGGTCGGGTCAGACTGGGATCCAAAAGAGCGCATCTTCAGGAACTGGGGGGGTCTTCTGGGACCCGAGGACGAGCCTGTAGCTGTGCAGCACTGGAGCCGAAGTCAGAGCAACCTGACTGCCACTGTGGTCTGGATCGACCCCACCAACGTCATCGCCGCCACCTATGACATCCTGGTGGACGCGTCCGCCGAGGTCACCCACTACCGGCCGCCTCTCACCGCGCCGCTGCGACCGGGCGTCTGGAAGCTGCGTGTGCTTCACCACTGGAACCTGCTGGGTCAGACCAGCTTCGTCGTTGCTCCGCTGGAGTTTCACCGACAGCAGCCCATTCAGAAAGGTGTGCAGGACAGTAACTCATGCGTCCCGTCACATGAGTCACATGTAATCAAGCCCATGGTTATCTGGTGCAGAGCATCTGCACTCTGCAAATGCTTTAGAGGGTTCGGTGCAGCTCAGAGGAGATCAGATTTAGACTGTGAGTGGAGGTCCTGCTCCCTCAGCTGACACCACGTGCAAACATATTAATAGTTTCAGTAAGTCGTGGACACACAGGGTCACCTCCGTCTGATTAGGCCTCCCCCTCCTCACAGTTAAACCTCAGTGGGAGCTGTGGGTCTCCAGAGGCCCTAAGTAAAGACCAGTGACACGACAAACGTTCCTTGGGCTGAAAAGGGCTGCAGGACTGAAGGGGAGGATCACTGCTGTTTCTATGCAGAATGGACAATCTAAAGAGCCAATTTTAACCTGCAGCCTTTCACTAACATAATTGTTCCTGTTTTTTAGCTGAATCAAAGAAAAACATTTGTTTGATGAAAGAGAAGAAAATAGGATTTTAGATCCAACATGATACCAAACAGCAGTAGGATAAAACTGAGATGAAGTGGCTCTAAAAACTCATATAGGTTTGTGACAAAGCAAAAAATGAAAAAAGTTTTCATACCCTCCGTATTTCCCAAAATCCTTAATGTGACCACCACAGTACCATGGAAAACAAAGATCAGTAAAGTGTGGTGTCAGTTTATCAACAGTCCCGTTTACTCTGATACTGTCATGGTTTTATCTACATTGCAAAAAAACGGATCTAAAATAAGTGTATTTGCTTATAATTTCAGTTGGTAAATCTGATGATTTGCCAATAGAATCAGTGTTTTACCCTTAAAATAAGATTATTGGATATTATGCACTTGAAATAACAGACTATAAATGTTTTGTAGTCTTCTCACTCCATTCGCAAAGTGTCTCACTTTCCTGCTCAGTTTCAAGAAAAAATGCATTTATTTTAGAAAAATATAATTAGATTTCAGTTTATTTGCAGTGTAATGTAGTGCAGGAAGGACTCTCAGTTGAAGTAGAATTAGTAAAATAAACTTTATTGCACATAAAGGGAAGGTGAGAAAAATTATCCAGGTCAGGAGGAGAAAGAAAGTGGGAGCTGGAAAGAGAGGAACAATGAGTAACTGGGGAATGAACCAAACAAGAGGGTCTAGATCTGGGCTTATGGAAGAATTGCCCCCAGGGAGATGTGAGTAGATCTGGGGTTGTGGATGAATTGATGAAGTGATCCAGAGGGAAGTTGGTGTAAAGCAGATGCTGCTGCAGGTAGAACCCGGTGGTTTGTGCAGAGATACTAGAAAGGAGGTTACCAGATATGGATGAGTATCCAGGAGGATCAGAGAAGCAGGCAAACAAAACTAGTGATTGTGAGGATCTGAGGGGCTTGATGTTACCATGGGAGGATAACAATCAGGGTTAACCCACATAGATGCAGGACAAGTAATCAGTCCAGTAGCAGCCTCAGGATGCCCTGCAGTGGATAACCTATAGAATAACAAAACAACAACCACCTAAAAACCCTGATTCCTGACTGATAACCCTTAATAAAAATCCAGAGCATAACTTTTAGAGGTCAGCTGATTGGGACATAAGAAAACACCTGTGTGTAATTTAATCTCCAGTGTTTCTTTTTCTGCTCTCAGAGGCTGGGACATTTAGATTTGTGGAGGAAATTCCCTATTTTTCCAGAAAAGCTAGTCAGAGTCGATTCAAGGGTGCCGAACACACAATATTTTTATCTGGTCAATTATTATTATTAAACAACCTTCTTCACCTTCAGAGCTATGTGCTGATTTATATTGGCCTTTGAATACTTTAGCAGAGTATTTCTAAGGTTATATAGTCTGATATAGAGATAGAAAGATATTGATTATTTTGACATCAGTCTATTTTTCAACCATTAGTTCTGGAGCCTCATTGGACCTTTCAGCGTGGCTCTGAAGTTTGGATGGAAACTGATAAAGAAAAGATAAATACATTTAAAAATAGATATAAAAATGCATATTTGAAGATTTTATCATTGTGTAGCTGCATTAGCACATCACAGCATCTCCAACTCAAAATGATAAATAAGCAGTGACAATCTTTTGGTAACAATCATTTTTCCAAGTGTGAAGATTTTTCTCCTTGCAGAAGGTTTTTTTTTAATCTTAAAACCCTGAAAATATTGTGGCTTTTTAAACATGACAAATATTTTATTATAGATATTCATAAAGAATGATGCCTTATTAAAAAGCATCATGTAACAGTAGGGGCTCTAAAGAAGTTCGATTTAGCTGAATTCGGGGCCAGTGTGGCCTTGTAGACTTAGGTTTGCAGATACTTGATATGTGTTCTGATTCTTGAAGCCTATTTTGTTTTTTTCTTCCTCCATTTACATAATAGAGATGCAACAAAAGCCTCAATGTAGACCAAAAACAAATAGTTATTAACAAATCAAGCATAACGTAAACAACGAATGGCCAAAGGATGAAGTGCAAGGCATGCGCTTTATGTGATCTCAAAGCATGGCGGCTGAATGAACTGATAAATCGGTGAACACATGAAATTATTGGCCGATACAGGAAAATAATATCAGCCAGCTGAGGTATCAGTCTGCCTCTAGTTTTATGGTGTGTTTCCTGTGAACCCTAAAGAAAATGCCTTAATTTAAAGATGTTGGTTTGATTTTAAAGTTTCTTCTGTCTGTCCTCCTGTCCACACAGAGGATACACTGCGGCTTCACGCCGGTCCAGCCAGGAATGCCTACATGGAGCAGAGCTTCCACGGTTTGAACCCGGTGCTACGGCTGCCGGTGAGTCTCAGCGCCGTGGAGGAGGCCGAGGCAAACTCCGCCCTGACGGGGGCGCCGCTCAGACGCTGGCTGGACGGCCTCCTGGCGGGCCACTGGTCCGCCTCGGACGTCTGCTCCCTTGGCCCCAGCGCCTGCCCCGTCATGCAGCGATGTCCCCTTACAGCATGGAGCTCAGCCAGCCCTGACCCAAAATCTGAACTGAGCAAACCCAGAGAGAACGGGCGGATCAGGTAGCAGTGGGATGGACGGAAAACGGAGAGAGACGGATGAAGAAAGGCACCTTTGTGTCTGGTATTTATTTATTTAAAGATTCCAGGAACCGAAGAGGAGAATCCAAACTCAGTCTGATCCCACTTCAGTTTGGGACGGTGAGGCTGCTGAGCAGAGCGAATGAATGTCACATCCAGAACCTCATACCTCTTGTTGTTGAGTCTGAAGGAGCTGCCTCACATGTTCACACTGAAAACAGCTGTGGATGCTCGATTTAAAGGAGCAGCTCAGAAAAATCAGCCCCAATCCAAACGTTTTATTTCTTTATTTGATGTCGACCATCAACAGATGTTTAAACTCAACAAAAATATAAATGCAACACTTTTTGTTTTGCTCCCATTTTTTATGAGATGAACTCAAAGATGTTTAACTTTTTCCATATACACATTATCACCATTTCCACAAACCAGTCTAAATCTGTGAAAGTGAACTTCTGCTGTGTGATAAAACTGCAATTTTCAGAGTGGCCTTTTATTGTGTGCAGTGTAAGGCACACCTGTGCACTAATCATGGTGTCTAATCAGCGTCTTAATAGGGCACACCTGTGAGGTGGGATGGATAGGGTTAGGGTTATCTCAGCAAAGTAGAAGTGCTCACTATCACTGATTTAGACTGGTTTGTGAACAATATTTCAGGGAAATGGTGATATTGTGTATGTGGAAAAAGTTTTGGATCTTTTAGTTCATCACATAAAAAAATGGGAGCAAAATCAAAAGTGTTGCGTTTATATTTTTGGTGAGTGTATAACTGGCCTTGATGTATTTCGCACAGTTCCTGAACAGCTTTGGGATGTATAGGGAGGAATGTTTCAGTAGTATTTCTCAGAGTTTAAGTGTGGAGCAAAGAAAATTCAAGTATTAAAAAAAATCTTCCATTTTAAAGGGATATAACTGTTACTTTTGTTTTTAAGAACAAGTGCTCCCTCTAGTGGCATCGTACTGTAAATTTGGACCACATTAAGAAAGAAGGTTTTAAATTTTTTTACAGACCAAATGCTGTACATGAACAAACATTTTCCTTAAAATAATATTGTTATACAAAAAACAAGCTTTATAAACCTCTGAAAAACTTTCAAAAATGTTGCAGTTGGAGTTTATATTGTAAATTTGTTTTTGTTCAGCACCAACATTTCCTGTAAAGTTTAGATGGACCCAGGATTTGATTTTGTTTTTTTCCTATTTGTATTTTAGATGCTGAGTTGGACTCAAATTAACTCAGTTATGTGTTTTGCCCATTTTACATCTAAAGAAGAAGATTGCTTCCTGTGAGCTTAGAAACATTCTCCTCATTAGTTATCTTGGAGTGAAGTGTTAGTCAATGGTATGAACATGAACAAAGCTTACAAAGTTATTATTATTGGATATTTTAGACGTTAGACCTGAATTGTATACATGGCTGAAAATGCCGGATGATTGATGGATGCAGAAAAATACATTTTCAATGGTTGGATAAATCACAGATGATTGAATTTTTAGATAAAAATGAGAGGAAATTGATAGATATTTTAAGTTACTGGAAAATAGATTTTGGATTACAAATATTTGCATTCTTCTTTCTTTCCCTCTGCATATTAATCCACACCTGAAAATTCTCAACTCCAATTCCATCCTTTCTTCCAGACTGAGTAGGAACTGTTATGGATGTAATTTATCCCATCAACCTCCTCAGCAACCACAGGTGTTTTCACATAGAGTCCAGCTGGAGTCAGAGGGAGAAACTCCATAAAAACAACAACTCAAACGTTTTTCTCTTTTCTCACTCAGATGGTTTGCTGAAACATTTTCCCATTCTTTATGAAAACACGATCAAATGTGAAGAACTACCACAGTTTAGGACATTTTGTTGCCTAATCACCACCTGCTGGCGGGACATTTTTATTTCATTATTATCTATTGAAATAACAGTCCTCTGGTCATATCTGATAAGCAGATAAAAAGTGAAAAAAAATCTTTCTTGTTGAATATTTTCTTAACATGTCGAAGGTTTTTCTTCCTGTACTCCAGCTGCTCTGGTTTGTGTGAACTTCTGGGTTTTCTTTGTGCCATTTTCAAATCCTTCAGACTTGAAGTGAACCAATCCTGAAAGGAATTGATCTTCATATTTCTTTTTAATGTTTTCTCTCTGTGTTTCAAACATTTAGGACCTGCTGGAGTAATTTATTTATTTTTTTTCTTAGTAGTTCCTCATCTGAAGAGATTCTGTATGTGCTTTCTAGGGTAAAATATGTGCCTTTGTTTCTGAAGGCTGATTAAACTACTAAATTTTATTGATCACAGAGGAACCATCTTGATGAAGCTGTGATGTGCTTTTCTTTCCATCATGTCGTCTGAAAGATGGGAGACTGGATTCTTATTGAGTTAAATAAACACCTTTTAGTCTTCTCTGATGAAGAAATGTCTAATTTTACATTTTTAGTTCAGAAACTATCTAAATTTATGCCTTTTTGCTGCTAATTATTTCCATAATCTTCCTGCTCCTCAAAAAGGATAAAACTGAACATCAAGGTCGCCCTCATGTGGACAAACGGTGTAAAACTGACAACTTAAAACATTGAACATTTTAAAATATTTCAATGATCTGATATTTAATGATTATGATCTGATGAAGGCAGCCCGCATATCTGTTTTATGAATGTTGAATAATCAATTATTCTGTTTTCTATGTTGTGGATCAGAATGAAAGTTAATTTATTTTTACTAAATCAATTCAAAAACTGAGAGTATTATTTAAATAAATACACACAGAATGTTGTATTTCTAGCTCTAATTTATTTTGTTATTGTTTTTTTTATTTTATTTATAACTTTCAAAGATGAAAAGCCAAAATTCTTTTCTTAGAAAATTAGAATATCAGACTAATAAAAGATTCTTTTAATAAACTATTGTGGGTCTAATGAGTAGTATTTTCATGTACTATACTGTATCTCTGGTCATTGCTGCATCAATGCTGTGAAACATGCAGCTGATCAACCTTCAGTTCTGCTAAGGTGTTGAAAGGGATTAATAGGCTTCTTCTTGACAATACTCAATGTTTTCCCTGCATTATTGATCAGGGTCAGAAAAGCAGGTCCTGAGAGTTTATGTAGTGTGAGCCACAGCCAAATTGCACTTTCAATTAAAGCTGCATCTCATAATGTTTGTCAGCAAAGGAAGGAAAGAGTCTCCTTTTGGAACCACGTTCTTTCCTTTCACTCTTCTTTCCATTATAATATTGAATAAAGCACTTTGTAAACCAACTAGCTTTCTCAGCTTGTGTGTTAAATTGTGCAATAGAAAACTTTCCAATCAGAAATCTCTCCTGTTTATGTGGGGAGGACTGCTTTAAAATTTCTGAAATACTGAATTTGAGGTTTTTATCAGAATTCAATAAAAAAAAATCCATATTGGATCATTTTGTTGAATAAATGAGAGTTTTCCTGTTTTGAACCAAAAGTGAAGCTGATGAACTGATATAAAGCTTTATGTGTTAAACAGTTAGAGCAGATCTGTGATGGCTCATTCCTTTTATTTCTGATTCAAAGATAATTTTGGGTGAAATGCTGGAAAAATTCGTCACCAAGGTCTAAAGCCTGAATAAATGTTGGAAAACATCAACAAATGAACCCACATTTTAGAGCTAAAAAGGTTAAATAAAAGCCTTGAAGTATTTATTCCCCGTCCTTAAATGATAACGTAAACCCCATCTATGGCTGCAGCCTAAGGAATTTTTGTTGGTTTTGATTTTTTTGATTCTCTGAGAAATATTTAAAAAATCAGGAAAGATGATTGGCTTTTTTTTTAACTGGCACAAAATTACAGAAATGTACAAACACTCCAGTCATTAGTAACATAACAAGAGCAGATCAATGAAAATCTGGACTAAAACATTCGAATCTTTGTATATTTGAAATTCATGCAGATACTTTAAATCTTAATTCTAAACCCAAACGTGATTTCTTAACGAGACTTATCATCTTCATTAAGAATCAAGTCAATCAAAAACACACTATTTGGTTGGTACGCTTTAAATATAATTTATCTTTTCAAAATTTTGGGTTTTAGTGTTGTACCTACTCAGGTAAGTAAGTTATAAGTAAATTACCAACATGGATTCCATCAACCTGATTTGATGACAAGGATGTTTAGGTTTTGTTTTTTTTTCATTTAAAAAAAAATCTTTTTCTATGGCTAAAAGGGCTGGGAGATAAATGTTAAAGTTGCAAGTTTAGCCATGGATCTGATCTGAAATGACATAACTTTACATTTTTTTTTTTTTTTGTGAAGGGATTATTTGGGCCATTCATTTCCACATCTACCTAAATGTATAGCTTGTAGAAAATGATTGAAAGCTCTGCTAATGTCCAGGAACCTAAACACGCTCACTGTTTTGTCTCATGTTTCTCATCTGTGATTTAAATAGTTTCTTGGCTTAATCGTTAGTTTCTGAATATTGTAAATGTGTAATCCCTTTAAAGAATTAACCTGAATATTGGTATGAAAAGTAGTGCTTGGCACTTCCCCTTCATAAATTAGTTATTTTTCTAATTTTACATTTTGCTTTACAGTTTGTTTCTGCTTATAAGATATATATAAGAGAAAAAATAATGATTAAACTAAATGAACTAAAAAAATCACAGCGGACACTGCGTTCAGTATTAGTCCGCCTTTAAATATCTGTATTGCTGCAACCCAGGTTAATAATAATAATAATAAACAAGGTGTTTTATGTAGATATATAAAATGCATATCCTCTAAATGTGGAAACTAAACAATATAATAAAAGCAATACAACTTAAATTGGTGTGTTTGACACCTTGATGAAAAAACAAACATAGCTACTAATATGATACATTTTTTTTTATAATTTCTTTCTTTGGTACACACAATTTTTTAACGATAAGTTTTTTTTAATGTTAAGTGCCTTTTATTTTGACAACAAAAACAGGATATCATAATTTCACATTTCCGCAAGAACAAAACGGGATTAGTTTTAATTAAATAACCAGATAGTTATTGTTCTTAACTAATAATTAAAAAAATGAACTTAGCAACGTATATGATACAATGTGTTCTCTCTCCCTGCGTCTTTCAGCTGCAGAAGTCAATATCGAGCGAACCCTCTTCAATAAGAGCGAATCAATTAGAACGACGTGCGCCTGCTTCCTACGTCTGTACGTCCCGGAGGCGCGGGCGGAGAAGAAAAGGAGCTCCGTTTCAAACAACGATGGGGGAAGTTTGCGAGAAGAACTGGAAGTCATGTCTTTCTGTTGTTTGGAGAATAAGTAACGTTTTAATGTCCGTCTTCTTTGCTTTGGCTTCATATGTTCAGGTAAATGTTTGATAAATCAGTGTTTGCTCTGTCTGTCTTCCTCTAATGATATAGCCTAACTTTCCCTGATCTCATTCTGCAGATCAATGACCCAGATGCAGGTTTATGGATGGTAGGTTTATGATTATTGAAGCTTATATTTATGTTCAGGTTGTGTTTTCAAGGTATTTCTCTTTCAGGCGGGTTATGGAGTTCCTGCGGTGCTTTGTGCATTTATTGGTTTCAGACCTCATTTGACAGGTAGGCAGAAAACTGCTGATTCCTCTGGAGCCACATGATCTCTCCTGTTTTCCACTTCTTTTTTTTTTTTTGTAAAAACTTTATTAGCACGTTATAAACGACATGCAATTTCGAAAGCATAAGTTGAAGCTCAATTTATTAATTTACAGAAAAAGCAGATATGGATAAATGGAGCAAAAAATAAATAAATAAACAGATAAAAAAAAACACCTAGAGATCTGCTGCACTGTTACTAAATGATTAAATAATTGGATTATTTTGGAAGATTTACTTTTTTTTGTTTTGTTTTATTTTTTCCCCAGTTGTTTATTTCAAAGATCTGTTATTCTAAAGTCATAAAAGCAGGGTCATTTTTTTTTGCCCTATTATGTTATGTATAAAAGGATTAAATTAATTATATATTTTAATTGGTTGTTAAATATGAATTAGTGACTCTGAAGTATTTATAATTTGTTCAGAAATATATTTTTTTGAAATATTCATGAAAATATATGATTGCAAGTGGAACCAGAAAGAAGCAACATCGACATAATTAACAAAAATATGCTCAGTGGTTCCCCTCACATCTACAAAATACACACTTGTTTTTAGAATAGGAAAAACAGAGACAATTGCTTTGAAAAGTAATACTGAAGTACAACTTTGAAAAGAAACTTTTAGATTTTGTTTTTAACTATATAAGAGTTTTGAGGTAAATCGTTGGACTCTGTACCATTAAAGCATGCTTCACTGGATGTAATAGCACCATCTAGAGGCTAAATGGGGTAACACTTCAAGTAGTTATTTTTCATCTGAGTATTTCGTCTTTAATTTCAGAGACTTTGCCCTGGAGGCGAGTTGCTGATCTCCACCTAATGATCTCCAGTGCAGCTATCTTCATATTAGGGTGGAAACTTTACAGAGAACAAGTCACGCAGATCTTCCAGCAGGAGGAGGGCAGGTATGGTATCACCTCATGTCAACTGGATAAAAAGAAAACTGAGCTTCTTAAGTCTAAATATTTTAAAATTAAAATGAAAAAAAAAAAAAAAATGGAACCATCTTCCAAAATAAATGGTTTCAAGGCATGAAGTTTTGCCCACTAACATTCAGGGTCAGCAGACCCAATTAGTACATCGGAGTTAAAGTGGAGTGAAATAAACGACTCACTTGTTTGATGTTTAGAGATGCATCTGAATAAATCAGAATATGATTAAAATATGAATTTATTTCATAAATGCAATTCTAAAAGTTCAAAATAAAGTTCACTCTTAAACTTTAGAACTCATCAGATGTGTCTCTAGCCTCGTGAGACCATCCTGATCCCGCGAGCTTTCAAGGTTTCACTCGCAGATCAGTCTGGAGACTCTCCGTTAAAGAAAATCTGGAGCCGTTCACCAAACGAACGTCCAATCAGCGTTGGCTTTGAGGCGGG